ACAGTTTGCATGCACCCACAAACAACGAATAGATACTAAGTAAATAAAAAAACTGTGATAAAAATGTATTTTAAGTAGCAATATCATAGAAACAGCATTGGTAGTCTTTTTGGGGTTATCTCTACAGCAAGTAGAGACTCCCTAGTAATTTCTTGATGGTTTGGGAAGCTCTAGGTATATGATACACTGTAGCTTTTTTGTTAGTTAGTGTCTAGCATAATTAACCTAAGATTAAGTGTGTAACACGTAGGTCATATTATGACTAGGTTCAAGAATAAGTGGTTTGTTTTTGTTTTTGTTTTTGTTTTTGTTTTGTAAAAGAAACAAGTATTTTCTTTTCTCATACAGGAAAAACAATGAACAGCCAAAGGATTCTTGAACAACAACAACAACAAAAAACAAACAGTGCTAGAAATATCACCATACCCAACTTCAAGATATACTGTAGACCCATAGTAACAAAAACAGCACAGTACTGGCACAAATACAGACACATAGATCAGTATAACAGAAAACACATAAATAAACCCATGTAGCTATAGCAACCTGGTATTTGAAAAAGATGCCAAATATACACATTGGAGAAAAGACAGCTTCTCTAACAAATGCTGTTGGGGAAACTGAATATCCACATGTAGAAGAATGAATTGCTCATTCTGTACAAAAATCAATTCAAGTGTGATAAAAGACCTTAAAATATGACTCCAAACACTGAAACTAAACCACTTCAAGACAGCGGTGTAGGAATAGGCAAAGACTATCTGAAAAGGATCTGGTTGCTTGGGAATAATATCAAGAATTGACAAATACGATTTCATGAAATCCAAAGGCTCCTATCCAATAAAGGAAATACGTGAGTAGAAAGCCTACAGAAGAAGATAAAAATCTTTGCTAAGCACACATCTGAAAAAGGGTTAGTATCTAGAATTTATTAAAAAATTAAAAAAAAACTGAACAGCACGTTAACAAATGAATCAGTAAATGGGCTAATGCAACGAACAAATAGTTCTCAAAATATGAAATATGAACGTCTAATAAATATGTAAATAATGTCCAACATCATCCACCAGGGAAATGCAAACTGAAACAATATTGAGATTCTGTTTTGCCCCAGTCAGAATAGTTAGTTACCACAAAGAAAACAACATTATGACAAAGACTCGAGGTGGGTGGGTTGATATGCTGTCAGTGAAACCGTAAATTAGGCTCACCACTATAGAAATCACTATAAGAAGTTCCTCAATAAACCAAAAGTTTATATAACCTATGACCCTACTATACCACTCCGGTATATACTCAATGGACTCTAAGTCTACAGAGCACAGAGATACTTGCACTTTTTACACTAAAGATTTCTTTCATTTTATTTATGCCATGTGTGTTTACCTGCATCATAGCCGTATGTGCACCACGTGGATGCAGAGGCCAGAAGAAGGCATCAGATCTCCCGAACTGAAGTTAGAGGCAGTTCTCAGCTGCCTGACCTGGGTGCTGGGCAGCAGGCCCTGTGCCAAAGCAGCACATGCCCTTAATCACTGAGCCATAGCACTAGGTGTTATGAATCAGGCGAGGCGTCTGTCCGAAGATGCAGAAAGAGGAATGGTATATACACCATGGAGTTTTACCCCATCATAAAGTTGAGCCAAAATATGTAGTTGACAGGAAAAATGGATGCAAATGGGGACCATCATAAGAGGCTCGATAAGTCAGACTCAGGTAGGTGAATATTGCATGTTCTCTCATCTGCGAATCGTAGGTTTTGCACAGATACATAAACCATATCCATGAAAGTAGATATGGGACTAAGGGAATGCGAATAACAGGAAAGGGAATAAAAGAGAAGGGATGGACCGGTGAATATAGTCCAAGTATATGACACGATTGTACAAAAACATCTATGACACCCACCACTATGTAGAATAAATATACTCCAGTCAAAGTTTTATATTAAAAAATTCCTTTTCTCCTCAAGAAAAAGCCATCTAGCAAAAATTATAGTAATGTCTCCACTGACTCAGGACCCACTCTATGCCAAGTTCAACACTGGTCACTCCAGGAATTTGTATTTAGTTCCATCTTGGCAACATTCATACGGCAAAGTTGTTATGGTTTTATTCCATAGATGATAAAATTAACTTAAAGCAACATTCATAGATCACCCAGGACCAGATTTTTTTTTTTTTATTCCTAGGACTAGAAAATAATTCTGAGACTCTTAAAAGCAGGTTCATCCTACTATACTGCAATCTGGATTATAAATTCCATGTTTTAAGTTCTTGCTTGTCCTACTGCTTTAGAATTTATTTTATTTCCTTTGTGCATAGGTCACATATACTAGTGTGAATTAACAGTGTAACCCATGCTGTCAGGAGTGTTTACTTCGGCCAACTTCGACAGTTGTTCGAAAGCCAACTGTCTGAACACTCTTATCTGCAGTGAGGGCTGAGTCTTCTTCAGGATGTGGTTTGTTGAGGTAATGTCAGGTAGGAACGTGACTGAAGAGGAAGGACCGTGACAGAACCTGTGCTCCTCCTGCCCCTCCCACCACTGCCTACCTCCATGACTGTGCTGTCCTCAGGTTCACAGCTGTGTTTGAATGATCTCAGAAGAACCCTGACAATGCCGATGAGTGGACATGCTTGCAATCTTTATGACTTTGGGTTTATGCCTTTGTTTTGGATCTCAGGAACACTGTGCATAACATCCTGTAGAGCCAGCATAAAGGTGGCTTTCTCAGGACCAAGTTTCTAGGTAGAAAATGGGGGACTTTCTAGTTTAGAAACTCTAATTTTATTCCATTTGCCTTTGCGCGTCTATTATGTGACACATAAATGTGTTTTTCCTTTGTTCTTCTTCAATAATTGTTATTGTTGAAGTTAATGAAGAACCATGTCTCTGAACATTTAAGGCACAGAATGTTTGAGGAAGACATGTTGTCAACTCCTGGCCTCCACCAACACGTGTTCACACATGAGCCCTCACATACGTGCTCACATAAGAGCACATACATGTGGACTCATACAAGGAGGAGGAGGAAGAGAGGAGAGGGAGAAGGGAAAGAAAGTTCGTGTTTCATCTAGGATATGCAGCCCTCATTCAGGGTCCATTTTCTCTAGTGAGAGACATCTGGGCTTTAATTTTAGCCCCTGCTTATTCTGTCTGCCAAGTAACTCTGGACACAACATAAATCCATAACTATCGTGGCGCTGTATTGCAGGAAGGCCCTGTGCATTGATTGCTTTTGGTCTTCAATGGGAAGGGCTTCTACACTTATCTCATTCATGTGAGCCCGTACATTGTTCCCACATGCAGGTCACAGCCTGTGCCCAGCAAGGCGGTTTGGTCACCTGACCTCCATAAGCCAATTAAAATAGCAAATGAATGTCATTGCTATCTTTTCCCTTTAATCACTCATATCTGGGGTCAGCTTTTTCCTTTGACTAAAAATAAAAACGTCATCTTGAAAGAAGAAACTGTGAACATAGTGGCTCATGGACAGGAAGGCAAATTTGGAATCACACGTGAAAGTGGAAAAAAAGATTGTGATAATGGAGGCTGGCTCACGGGAAGTCTCCATTTTGAAAAAGCTACCATTATCCTTCTTCCTCAGTGGGACTATAGAAATGTACCACTGTGTCTGCTTTTCATGTGGCTTTTGAAGATATGTACTCGGTTCCTCAGGCTTGCATTGCAAGCACTGTCCCGAAGGAGCCACCTCACTAGCCCCAGGGCGCTGTCCTGATTTTCAGACATGGCCCCCTGCCAGCAGGAAATGGCACTGTGCTTTGTGTGTGTTTCTTCCATGTGATGACAAGCTGCTTTTTCATCAGCCTCTCTTCCAGCCTGAACATTCTCACTAATATTCCTAATTACTAAGGTCTTCAGCAAACTCTAGGTCACCGCTGGCCCACTAGTGAATTTGTCTTAATCCGTGTGGATGGGATTAGTTTGGAGACTGAAAGATGCAACAGACTGAGAAGCCCTAAGAAATGGTCAGATTGTAAATTCAGTACTCATGTTTCACTAGTTAGCTCTCCTGCTAAAAACATGCATTGCAATGATGGGGTTTCTAATTTTAAACTCACAGCCAGCGCTGGTGCAGGAGAAAACTATTTTGCTGTTAGGGACTGAAATCTATGCAATGAAGTCATGCTGGTTTAGCTATTACCCTGCTGATAAGGCAGCCCCAAGCCTAGAGGGAAGTGCACACAGCAACTGTCAGCTCTATCACAATGCACCGACATAAAGGGCACCCAGAGGTGTGTGTGTTGCATGATGGGACCAAAGACATGCCACATAGACCTACAGCCCTGGTTTTCTTGAGAGTATCAATAAGATGTTGAGCTAAGCCACCAAAAGACTAACTATGACCTATCAACCGAACTAACCCAGTGATGGCATGCGTGTCAAAAAGACAGCGTTTGATGGGAATTGGTTAGTTAAACTCACAGCACAGTGTGAGTTCCAATCATGCACTTCTATGCAAAGGAAGTTACTTACGGAAAATGGATCAGTAAGGATGGCTGTTCATTAGCTGCATATGGAGGTATAGCTATAGTAAACACGGTTATAGAATAAAGGGTTTCCCTTTAAAATACATTTGAATACTATACTGAAAGCATAAATAGAAAACTAGAGGATTTTGATCATTGCTGTCCCGATGCACCCTGACCTCATGCACCCTGAAACAGGTTTTTTAGGACTAGCCTGACCTGGCCTCCTCTCTCATATTAGTGCTCTGTAAGTAAAACAATTTTTATGCAGTTAATATTAGCACAGATTTTTTCTCTACTCTCCTGCTTCCTAGCAACCAAAGCAGAGTATCTGCTTGCCAATCTACAGTTGGTTTAAAAAAATAAAAAGTAAGAACAGAATCCCCAGTGAATCCGCGATAGACCTGGGGCAGTAGGGATGCTTTTTGTAAACCCGCACTGATTTCGTGAGTCCGACCCGCCCTCTGCAGTGTCAGCCTCCTGACCTTGCTGTACTTTCGGCCACAGGCTAGAGAAGACGTGATCCACATGCTGAAGACAGAGAAAACCAAGCCCGAGGTTCTGGAGGCGCATTATGGATCTGCAGAACCAGAGAAAGTGCTTCGGGTCCTGCACCGAGATGCCATCCTCGCTCAAGAGAAGTCCATAGGAGAAGATGTCTATGAGAAACCCATCTCAGAGGTAAAGGCAGGGCACCAGCAAGCCTCCCTAGAAAGAAACTACGGGGAGAGGACACCCCTCTCCCTTTTATATGCTTTGACATTTTCTTCCAAATGCAAAATGTCATGATGCCCTGGTGTAGAGTTAAGTATGGTTAGGTAACTCATGGGCTGTACTAGATAAGTGCGGGTAGGAGTTTCCAACTTAGATACGCTTCAGGTTCGAAATACATTTTTGCATATGATTAGGAATGTTGTGTGCTCTGAAAGTACGTTATCGCTTTACTCCTCTAAGAAATAGCATATCTAAAAATTTGGGGTGCTTACAGTTCTCACCTTGAGTTTTTAGAATTATTGTAAAAATGATAGCCTAACATTAGGTTGAATTCATTATTGATGGTAATAATGGTTTAATACCACGGCGTGGGAAAGATCTTGAAAATGTCATGATTTAAAAGGTCTTATGTGAATTCTAGTGGTGAAGTAAAAAATCCCAGTGAATATAGCCCATAATTCCTAATATAATATGCACGTGATATATAATATATGCATACAATGATTCAATACAGTCCTACTGATATTAGTTCATCTAAAAAAAATTAACCTAAATATCTCCATTGGGCAGTATTCAGATAACAGTTTGAGATTCAGCTGCATGGTTTTACAGAGCCCACTTCAGCTCATTATCTGGCTCCTTATCTGCAGGCTTGGGGAATGACCACGGCACACACCTCTCAGTGGTGTGAGGATTAAGTGAACAATGCCTGGAAAGCTTTCAGCATTGCATCTGACATGTTCTAGAAACTCAGGCACTACTAGCGGTTAGTCTTGGTGATAATTATTGACATCTTCAAGTTCTTGCACATGTGTGCACGGGTAGAGGAATAAAAGTCATAGGAGTAAAAACGTCACTGTCATAATGATGACGATGACAGTGGTAACTGGGATTAAAATACTCAGCTTGAGGTGACCCTGATAACCCCAAGGGAGAGGTGGGCCATCAGAGCAGACAGTTTAACCAGAATCATGACTCCCTCAGCCACAGAACTCTGAAAACGTACTCAGAGAGAGACTTCTATGGCCATCAGGAGGTACACCTGGCCAGAGAATCAAAGCTATGGAGAAAGGGGCTGTGCTGAAATGCTCAGCTGTGAGCCGTCCTGGTATTGGTGGTGCTAAGCCTGTTTTTCTGTTTCTTTCTTCTCTTAATAATCTCCCTAGCAGAGAAATGAGAGACAGAGTCAGAGATGAGAGAGAAAGGAGACAGAGACAGAGAAAGAGACAGAGAGAGATAGAAAGAGGAGGAATGTGCTTTCCCCCACAATATCTAATAAAAACCTGCCCTGTGAAGAATGCTAAAAGGATAAAAGTTTTTCTGCCACCACTGCAGTTTTTGCTCCCTTACTCCAGCCCTTCATATGGGCTCAGTTCTCACAAAAACAGAACTAGGACTTTTTTCTTTTAATTTATTTACTATATATACAGTGTTTTAACTACACGTAGGCCTGAACACCAGAAGAAGGAGCCAGCCGGATCTCATTAGATAGATATGAGCCACCATGTGGTTGCTGGGAATTGAACTCAGGACCTCTGGAAAAGCAGCCAGTGCTCCTAACCTCTGAGCCATCTCTCCAACCCTCCCTGTTCCCCAGAGCTAGGACTTTTAAAGTTGTTTTGTTGTTGTTGTTTTTGTTCTCAGCAACCTTGAAGTTGTTGAGAAAAACAGGAAATGTAGACTTCCGTATCTATCAGCAAGGCTGAAAATGCTAATAAGGTTTAGTCATTTTACTGAACTCTCACAGGATAGTCAGTAGTGATCCTCCTGCTAAGGCTGAGCAGAATAAGACACGAAAAGGAAACAGATCAAATGCTTACATTTTCTTGGAATTTTGCCTAAGAATTTTGAATCTTGATATTCTGGAATTATTTCTAGATTTCTGAGGATTTAGTATTTGCTATTTCATTCCTGGTCAGACAGGGAAAGCACTCCATTGTGCTGGACTCACTGCTTAATCTTCAGTGAATCCTATTGGATAACCCACTGGGACCTAATTTGTACTGGTATTCATTAATTTCATACCATAGAGCATCAAGCCTCTGGAGTCACACATACCTGGGGCCTGGCTCTGCTTCTGAGCTATAGCCCAGCCCTCATTCTTTCTTCAGCTCATATATCCTGGCCACCATCCCTTCTAAGGCCTGTGTGACTTCACCATCCTCAGAACTAAGCCTTTTCTCCATTTCAGCTACTAATATGGCATCGTGTCCTGGTCAACCAATAAATACCTTCTGCCATTTATTTTTCTGCATAGGAAAATTCAAATGAGTTATTTTTCTTTAATTTTAGTATTTCAATTAGTTTCTTCAAGTGGCTCCCTTTTTTTAACAGCTATTTTAAAATTTTATTTACCTTATCGTTCTTCTTTTCTCTATGCTTTTAAACCTGAGTGCTTCCTCCCCCTCCTCCTCCTCCTCCTCCTCCTCCTCCTCCTCCTCTTTTTTCATCTTTTTCTTCTTCTTCTTGTCTTTAGAGACAGGGTCTTACTATGTATCCCCTGCTGTCTACTTATCTAGACGAACATTTGTTTTTCTGCTTATATATATAGTACATACATGTAATCACCGCCCTCAGAGGACTGAGGAAAGACAGTAACTGGTTCAAGACCAGCCTGGGTTACATTTATGGCCTTTTATAATCTGTGCTGTGTGGTCTCCTCCAGGAAGAGAGGCAAAACCAAGGCTTCAGAGTCTGCAAGACTGTGTGTTTTGCAGTTTTCCCCTGAATCTTGATTCGGTTTTCCTGTCCTTGAATTGAATACTTCTCAATAGGGTGTCTTCCCCACCTCTCCTGAGCCATATGTGGGCTGAGTTGGTGCTGCCCTGCCTGAGTCCCCTTTAGTTTGCCTCCTTTTTCTTTTGATGCAAACCCAATATTACAAAGCATGGGGCATGTGGTCCAACTCCAAGCAATGCCAGCAATTCAGTCTCTCACCAAGTAGTGCTTCTGATATCTTACCTTATCCTGCTCCTCCCAAATACAATTCTTCAGTCTCTGTGGACTTTATTCAGTCACCTTAAAAGAGCTATTGCACTCTCAAGGGAAGGACTACATGTAATCTCATGAGATCATTTCAAGATTTATAGCATTTCCTCAGGTGTGTCCTGGGTCCTCCTGTCCTGGGTCCTCATGCCCTCTGTGTACAAGAGTCACTCCTCTGCTCTGGGGCTCTCCTGTCTCCACTGGTCCTCAATCGTGATTCAAAAATGACTAAGCTGCCTTACCTTGGACACACCCAAACCCGTGTCCCTTTCGTATAACCCTGTCTCCCAACGACCACCACCACCAAAAACAACAACAACAAAAAAATACTTCCAGGTACATTCATGATCTTTTCACTTTCACTTTGGAAATTAACTGTCCAAAATAATAGATTTCCATTCCAGTTGCACTGCTCTTTAATAACAACCATTCCTCTATGCCAAGCCATCTCTTAAAACCTGAAAACCCAAAGCCAGTGCTCAATGTAGGATTGGTGAATCAATAGGTTCTATGACTTCTAAGGGAGTCATCCTTCGGTCACTGCACAAGTTGCAGAGGGCCAAGAGAACAGCCACTTCTCTTCTCTTTTAGGACCTTGATATTATTTAAAAAAAAAAAAAAAAAAAAAAAAAAAAAGAAGCCAACAAAAAAACAGAAATAACACCTGACAGATATGACCTGTTGCTACCCATGCAAGTTTTCCCATACAGAATTTAAGAATTTAAGAAGGCTAGATCCTACAGTAACACTTTTAAGCAGAGCTTACCAACTCAGAAACACTATCCAGGGATGCCTCAGCAACGTGTGTCCCTAAGTCAGGAAGACTGTCTTCCTCATAATGTAACCATGGTTACAGCAAACTCTATGAGGTGTGTTGGGGTGAATACTATCCACAGCAATTCCTGAAGCACACTCCAGTGACCCAGCCCAAGACTGTTGCTAACCTAAAAGCCCACATGGTCAAGGCCAAGGCCTGCTCTGTGCTGAGGCTACACCAGAACATTTGATATTTCCATGTACTATCATTCTCTCCAGGTGGCCATACAATCCCTATCTCTTGAGATCTCCCCATCTACCATCCAATTCAACATGCCATCATCTTCCTTGGCTAGACTGATATCAGAGAGGAGACTGGGCTTTCAGGGCACAATGCATTGCGCTATGGTATGCAGTTTGCAGAACAAATGAAAAGAGTGATCCTTACATACTTGGCTCTGTATTCCAAAACAGAGCTTTCCAATAAGCTACAGCCCCTTCCTAAGCGGAGGGAGATTTGGCCAAAGGCAGAGCTGTTCTTCAAACACTTTTCCAGGTTTGTCAAAAGGCACAGGAGTTTAACTGCCAATCTGTAAAGGTCTGAGCACTGAGTCAACAGTTAGTGTAGGTCCTTCATGCCATCTCCAACTACATGTACTCCAAAGCAAACAGAAGAAGGGAAGAGGGTGAAGCAACCTGCCTTTTATTTTGAGTTCCCCACATGATCCATTCATAAAAAATTACTTCATACATGTGTAAAGGGGACACATGCCTGAAACGGAAGGGCAAACAGAAACCTAAGGAGCAGCTCTGATGCTTCACTGTATGCAGGCCTGCTCCCCAGGAGGGCTAGAGAGTTGTCAGTGGGCTTGAGAGTGGATTTTAATATGCCCGTTCTACTAGGAATAGTAGGTTCAGACGGGGCAAGGGAGAAGCAGAGGACTTCCCTTTTCAGAAAACATGGGACAATGTCAGATCATTTGCTCATCACAGCTGGAGTGCCCTCTAGTCAGACAACGCTACTACCATCCCTTGCTGCACAGACCATGAATCGCAGGGATTCTGCTGGCCACGTACAACCCCACAGTGAGCTGTCTCACCTCAGCGGTGGCAGTGGTGGAGTAAAAGCCCTGTGCTGGAGCTTAAGAGAAAGAGTAACAAGTAGGATAGGAAGTATCCATACCGTAAGATTCCATCCACATGAGCAGGCATTCACTAAAGCATACTTTGCGCAGACTGTAATAGATGACGTAGAACTGCTGAAGCCACAGTCTCATAAAGATAGGATACGCTGGCTACCGACAAACAGCAGCTCGGTTGAAGATTTGTAAAACCTCATTTAGATGTTTAAATGTTTAGTATTTAAGCACATCTCAAAACAAAAAAACAAAAAAACAAAAAAACAAAAAAACAAAAACAAAAAAAAAACCAACAACCCAAAGAAAAAATCAGGAGTGTAGACTAGTCTTATACTTTCCTTAGAAATTGAGGTAATTGTTTTCATTGTGACAGTGAAAATTACTTCCCAAAAGAGAAGACTGATACACATGAGATCTTAACTTTTCTGAGATCAGGGAGATGCTATCCACTTTTTTTTTTTTTTTTTTTTTTTTTGAAACGATGTATTCTAAAATTTAGGGAGACTGTTCTAGAAGGCCAGCAGATAAATTGAACTGGGTATCACAGCACACGCCTGTAAATGCAGCACGCAGGAGGCTGAGGCAGGGGGATTAGATTTTGAGAACGCCCTGGGCTGCCTAACAAGACTTAATCTCAAACAACAAACCAAAAGCTTTAGGATTATTATAGCTAGTTGTTTTTGTTTTGTTTTGTTTTGTTTTGTTTTGTTTTGTTTTTCTTCTTCTTCTTCTTCGCTTTGTTTCGGTTTTTGAGACAGGATTTTTCTGTGTCGCCCTGGCTGTCCAGGAACTCATTCCGTAGACCAGGCTGGCCTGGAGCTCACAGATCCACCTGCTTCTGTTTCCCGAGTGCTGGGATTCAAGGTGTGCGATACAATGCCAGATATAATGACTAGTTTAAAAAGACAGTTGGCATCAAGGGAACACCACAAGATGGTAGGACACAGTTTCCCTTTCAGCGTTCTCCATCCGGTCATAAGCCCCTCGACCAGTGTAACCTACAGACGCTGCAGAAGAAGTCAGGTACTAAGCTCTTTCCGGGCTTTGCTCTCGCAGCTGGACAGACTGGAGGAAAAGCAGAAGGAGACGTACCGCCGCATGCTGGAGCAGCTGCTGCTGGCGGAGAAATGCCACAGGCGCACCGTGTACGAGCTGGAGAACGAGAAGCACAAGCACACTGACTACATGAATAAGAGCGATGACTTCACCAACCTGCTGGAGCAGGAGCGAGAGAGGTAACCTGCACGCGGGCGCCCGTCACGGCTGGGCCCCCATTTCACGGCTGAACCACGGCAGAGGCCAGGCTCAAAGCACTAGCGGGAGCAGTAAGGCAAGAGAAGGAAACTGAAGGGATAGGCATAGGAAAAGAAGCCATGCGCGTTATTGAAAAGGAGCGGGCTGGCGGACAGCCTGGTCTCGTCTCTGACGTCAGTGGGATTGCCTCGAGCTCGCCTCCATTTGTGATGACGTTGGCTGTGGGTTTCTCATATACGGCTTTTATTATGCTGGGGTGTGTACACGGCAGCTTTTCATTCTCTAGGACTTTTATCATGAAGACAAGTTAGATTTTTGTCAAGGGCTTTTAGATGACCGTGTGACACTGTGGACAGGTGCCAAGGGTCTTATTCTGGTCTCTGAATGGTTTGTAGTGGGGTTGAGGAGCTCCAGAAGTGGGGGTGACTTTTATCTGAGATTAACACATGACTGTGTTTGGTGTGCGCAAAAGTAAGGTGCCAGAGTCCCCAGGATGCTTAGAGCCTGAAAACCACAAAGCTGGAAAGAAACTGAGGAGGCTTGTGTATGAATTTTATCAGCAAAACCCCTACATTTGAGAGCCTCTGATTTGAAATAATGTAATTTTCCTCCTGGGTGTTGAAATTCACTTTTCAGAAAGGTAAATTCTTACATTCACTTATACATTAAACTTCTCCCCTAATACCAGAATAGAAAATCTTAATATTGGATGTATATAAACTATCCCCTTTTTAATTCTGAAAAGGTAACATGCTTAAAAAAAATGTACGTGTATGAGTGTTTTTGCTGTGTGTGTGCCACGCGCATACCTGCTGCCGGGCGATGTCAGAAGACATCCAGGTCCCTTGGAACTGGGAGCCGCCGTGTGGGTGCTGGGAACCAGACGCACATCCTCCACAGGAGCGACGAGGGCTCTCAACTGCTGAGCCCTCTCTCCAGCCCTGGGCTGCACACTTTAAAACTTTGAGTTTTTTTTTATGTAAGTAAAATTGCTTTCATTTTCATAAATAAAGAGATAAAATCGTTGTATGAACACTGAGCAGAAGCAGCACCTGAGCTGTCCTGGCCTGGTACAAAACACGTGCAACCCTGACGTCCAGTTCCGTCTCTCTGCAGCCGCCGCGCTGTTGCTCTACGTCCAGTATCTCCCCCAATTCCCAATACCGCTTCAAAACCTGATCTAACGGGGTCTGTCAGCACCTGGTATCTCCTTGTCAGTCAACAGAGGACTGCTCGTCTGAGCATGTGTGTGTGGCTATGAAGGCCCGCTTTTACCGCCCTTTACGCTGGATGCGTCTCCATTTCACGAATGGCGCTTTAGTCCTCTCACAGCTCAGGTTAGCGAGTACTAGCACCTGAAACAAGTCCAGCAGGCAGAGAGTAAACAGACAGCGGCAAGTACCAGTTAAAGTTTTGTCAGTAACTGGCCAAAGGGGCCCCTGCAGTAAGGCCGAAAACAGTTCTTTTCTATAGGCAGCAAAATAAAGCATAATGCCCACTCGGTGCTTCCTCCAAGTATTCTGAAAGCTACAGCTTCAAATATTAAATAGATACTGCAAGCTGTAACTAACGTCTCTACTATATATATATACCTTTATTGATTCGATGTAGCTTTTCCAAAGGACAGTAAACTATGATATATGAGTTTTTAAAATACAGTCTTGCTAGACAGGCATGATCTGTTCATCCTTCATCATGAGCTGTATATTCCTGTTTCAATACTTTCTGTAGACTGCCGTGTTTCTCGCAGGTTTGCTGTGCGGACGCAGTGGCTTATCTAAGTGCCTGTACGCTGTCTGACACACAGTAGGCTCTCATGTACATTATCACTTCCACTAAGTGAACCAACCTGTCACCTAAGAAAGGAAGCTAAGACTCCAGGAGAGTAAACAGCAAGGATACACCTACAGATCCGTTACTCAGGAAAGTATCACACATCCTCCACTGGTTTCCAGTTTGTGGATATAAGCAAATTGTTTAAGTAATATAATCCACTTTGAAGACCTTATTTTATATGTCTATATTCTAACCTTTTGCTGCTATGGCCTTTGGCCTAAATGCTAGGTGGTGATAGTGTGTGCCTTTAATCCCAACACTTTAAAACTTTAAGAGACCACACAAAAACTGTGTTCTACCATGGTCCTCTGGGCTTACATCTTAGAGGCCTGACTACAGGAGGCAAGGGAGTGAGGAAATGACAGATACACAGACATACGAACAGAAAAACTGTGGTCAAGCTGTGTGCACTCTGATGGAGTAGTACCTTAGCATGTTCATTGTGTCCGTCGCAGGAAGAGGGTTGTCTAATCCCTGTAGGAGATCTCTGTGGGCAAGTCATCTCACACAGTAAGCATCCGAGGGGAGGGAGCTGCAGTTTGCAGTAATTGTTTTTGCACGGCCCAGGAGGAAGGCTTTGCCATCCCTCTGAGCCTCGCCTGGGAAAGGTTTTAACACTCCTCTGGGGCTGAGGCATTAGAGTCCTAGACATGGCTGTCCCGTGTCAATAGTACAGTCACTAGAGAATTCCCTCAGTGAGGGATTTCTCTGATCCCCAGTGTTCACCCCATACATCCATTCTTGTAGCACTGTTTCCTCAGACCAGAGACTGCCAACAGGAAGCAGAGACCCCGGGTGTAAAGCTTTCTGTAAAGCTTTCTTCTGTCCTTCAGCTACATGGTTATTTCTTTGACGTCTGCAGTGCTTGAAAGCACTGACTTTGAACCGCCCGTAACCTCAGCCTTTCGGAGGTGGAGCAGGAGAATTGGGGCCAGCCTCAGAAACATACCAGGTTCAAAGTCAGGCTGTGCTATGTGAAACTCTGCTTCAAAAAACAAACAAAACCATTACATAGTACAGAACAGGTTGAATTTATAAAGTTTTTAAAAAATGTAATTGGTAATGTTACCTCTTACTGGGTTTGGTACTCCCCAGGGGGAAGATGAGAAATGAAAGAAAACAATGGAGTTTTATGTCCTATATTTCTAATTTATGGTTTCTTTGTGTTTCCTTTAAACTGCAGTAAGCCAAGGCTTGCTGACTTTGTGTTTGAACAGATGAGCTGCTTTGGCATTTCTATGTAATCAGAAAGAGTAAACCCCCTACTTCAGTCTGAAACTATCCAGTCTTAAACTGTAGATCTAGCAAATAAAGCCTGGTGTATCCAGAGCATGACAGGAAGCCCTGCTAGGGCAATTGGACCTCCCTCTCCTAGCTTCCTGGCCTCCAAGCATTTGAGAAGTAGAGGCAGGAGGATCCCGAATGCTAGGCTAACCTTGGTGTCATAGGACACACTGGGCTACCTGAGAAACTTTCTTAAAAACCCAGGCACTACAGAGATGGCTCAAAGGTTAAGAGTACTTACTTCCTAGTTTGGTTTCCAGGCTCACAACCACCTGTAACTCCATTCCCTGAGGGTCTTCTTATTTCCCTTCTGGCTTCAACAGGTACTGAACACAGCTGTACATAAAAATATGCAGACAATGTTTACAATGTATCCTTACATTTACTGTTAAAAAATTCCAATCAAACAGATATTACAAACAAGGTTCTAAACACATTATAAACTCATGTCCCTACAATTGTCATCTGTTTGGATACTTTCTGTTAGAGTATTGTCAGAAAAAAATAGCAACGTATTTGCTAACTTCTTAAAATTAATTAATATTTTTAAATTAATTACAATTTATTCACTTTGTATCCCAGCTGCAGCCCTCTCCCTCATCCCCTCCCAATCCCACTCTTCCTTCCTTTTTTCCTCCCATGCCCCTCTCCCAGTCCACTGATAGGGGCAGGCCTCCTCCCCTTCCATTTGACTATCAGGTCTCATCAGGTCTTGTCAGGACTGGCTGCATTGTCTTCCTCTGTGGTCTGGTAAGGCTGCTCCCCCCTCGATCAAAGAGCCAGCCTATGAGTTCATGTCAGAGACAGCCCCTGTTCCCATTATTAGGGAACACACTTGGCAACTGAGCTGCCATGGGCTTCATCCCTTCAGGGGTTCTAGGTTATCCCCATGCATGGTCCTTGGTTGGAATATCAGTCTCAGGAAAGACCCATGTGCCCAGATTTTTTGGTTCTGTTGCTCTTGTGGAGCTCCTGTCCCTTCCAGGTTTTTCATCTCCCCCTTCTTTCGTGAGATTCCCTGCACTCTGCCTAAAGTTTGGCTATCAGTCTCAGCATCTGCTTTAATACCCGTCCTGTTCCCTGCCTTCTCCTACTTCCAATGTCTATCATATTTGCCCTTCTGAATGAGAGTTGAGCATGTTCCCTAGGGTCTTCCTTGTTGTTTAGCTTCTTTAGGAGTATAGATTTTATTATGTTTATCCTATATTATGTGGCTAATATCCACTTATGAGTGAATATATACCATGTGTGTTTTTCTGCTTCTGGGTTACCTCACTCAGGGTGATCTTTTCTAGTTTCTGCCATTTGCCTGCAAATGTCATGATATCCTTGTTTTTAATAGCTGTGTAGTATTCCTTTGTGTAAATGCACCACAATTTCTGTATCCATTTCTCTGTTGAGGGACATCTGGGTTGTTTCCAGATTCTGGCTATTTGTTATGTACTTACACATATTTTGGATATATGCCTAGGAATGGCATAGCTGGATCTTGAGGAAACACTATTCCTAATTGTCTGAGAAAGTGCCAGATTGATCCAAAATGGTTGTACAAGTTTACATTCCCACCAGCAATGAAGGAGGGTTCCCCTTTCTCCACATCCTCTCCAGCAAGTATTGTCACTTGAGTTTTTGATCTTAGCCATTCTGATGGGTGTAAGGTAAAATCTCAGGGTCCTTTTGATATGCATTTCCCTGATGACTAAGGACATTGAGCTGCTGCTAACTTTTTTAAATATTTGAAACTGATGAGGGTTTATATATGATATAATGAAGTGGTATAGGTGAGAGATAATGTTTTGTTGAAAATTGGTTATTAATATTTACCATTAATCACATATATCATTATTATGGTGTTTATTAT